CTTCTAAAGGGCAATTCACATCTTCATGCCCTTTCTTGATGTGGTAGGTGTACTGCCTCAAGCTCCTGATGTAGTCGGTCACTTCTTTCCTTGATTCCGCTCCAGCGGTCATCAGCATCCTTTGGAGCTCTCTGAACATCGCATATCCCGTGGGGATGTCTTGATCAGATGGATCTTCTTCCATCATCTGGCGAAACTGTCTCACCTTCATGATGATGGAGACCTCAATGCCCACATCATTCTCGATCTGCTCGAGTCTGTATGTCTCGTGCGCATAGCCTTCATCGTCAATGTATGAGCTTACTCTCACTTCACCATCTCGTTCTTGTGCTTCTTCTTCCATTTCTTCACCCCAAGGTGGGCCGACCACATCTCTGAAACTTAATCCAGAGTCGCCTGCCCATTGGACCCATTGTCGTCCTTGAGGTTCTTCATCTGTCGTCATTCTCGTGTATGACCTGATGGCCAATTTGACCAATTCTGCCATTCCGTGCTGTGCTGATTCTCCGGCCAGCTTCTGGCAGCATTCCACATGCTCAATTCAATCCTCCCTTGATCTTCATCTGAGGTGTAGTTCTCGTCTTCTCCAACTGCATTGCTCAGTGCCTGCCAGGAAGCCACATGTCTCCTCAGCTCTCTTGCTGTGTTCTTCAACGCCTTCAGCAAAATCAGGATTGCAATGCTCAAGATCACAACAGCAATTGTCAATCCAATCCCAACACAACTTGCTCTAGCATCTCACCTCCTGTCGCTCTTCTCCCAAGCAATCCCTCTGATCGCCGTTGCGGCTCATCCTCTGGAAAACATTGCTCTCCTATCTGTGTTGTAGCCAAGCTCAAGGCTGAATCTGCTAGCAATGCTGTCATCAGTGAGCCTCAACAACCTCTTTGCAGGCTGATTCGACTGCGCGCTCTTTTCTGGTGTTCCTTCCTCTTTAAACACCAACCTCCTCACTTCCTGTAGCCTCTTCTTCTGCTCTTGCTTCATTCTCTCGGCCTCAAACTCTGCTTTGCCAAGTTCTCCTGAGTTGTCTGTGAACCCCATCGTGAACATTAACATGTTCACTCGCTTTCCTCCAAGCGCCTTCGTTCCAATGTCTGCAGAGTTCGTCATCGTGCCAAGCTTTCTCAAGTCAAGGTCTCTGCCTTGCCGCTGTTGGAGCCATAGCAACCTTCCACTCAAGTGCTTTAGCTTTCCAACACCCTCCTTCTGGGCAATGGCTAGGCTTGAGCTGTTGTCGCCATAGACCACCAACTTCACCTGCTCACCTGTCAGGCGCTCAATTGCAGCTTTCAACAACAGACCTTCTGAAGCTCCTGACACCAAAGCAACATACGGAGCCTCAGTACTTGACAAAGTGATGTTCTTCTGAGTCCGGGCGTAGGAATGAATCCAATTGCCTACAAGGAAAATGCAGCCTGCCGAAGTTGAACTCCTCGTCAACTTGTTTCCTGACCAATCTGAGTCGCAGGTCACTTCCAGAAACATGGGTGCTGTTGTCAGACCTCTTGCCCTCTTCACGAACGAGTTGCTCTTGGTTTGGCTCCTCATCACCAAATGCACCTCCATCGTCATGGCCAAGTAGCCAACTAGCTTCTCCAGGGCCTTCCAAGCACCCTGTCGGGTTTTGGAGTCTTCCGGCTAGCTCCTTCACATGGAACTGGATATCTGGCCTGTCACCTGCCATGTACAGCAACGTTCCAGCTGCTGACCTGTATGTACATCGGTCTTCTCCAGTCATCCTCCTCCATGGTCTTCCCATCTTCTATTCCTGCTCCCGGTGTCTTCGACTTCTTCACCGGGGTCATCATCTTCACAAGGTTGTGGGTGTACTTCTCGCTGACCATCATCTTGGCCTCCGAGGCATCCACCATCAGAGTCCTCTTCAAGAAGCTTAGCGCCTGGTCATCCTCCACCGGCGTCTCATCAAGTGGTCTGTGAATCATCGACATGAACCAGCAAGAATACATCCTGGCCCCTCCACAAGGTCGGTGCCTCAGCACATGGCGTGAGCCCTCCCTCAATCAGGCTCCTCCTCAGCCCATTGCGCTGCACCTTCACGTTGTGATGCGAGAATGCGGCCCAGGATCCACTCCTGCTGGAGTCCAAGCCTCTCAGCCAAAGCCTTGCCCAGGCTCACCTTCACCTTTTCTTTGGCTGCGCACACATCAAGTATGCGTCTTTGACCATCGTGATCATCTTCCAGCCTTTGACCTGACAGATCGCTGGGATCAACCTCAAGAGGGAATGTCCTCCTGCTGGTGCAAAGACATGTGTCCTCTTTACCAGTCTTGCTCTTCTCTTCCACTTCTTCTCTCGCCGCCTCCAATCCATCACCAACTTTGTTGTCAGCAATGGGATGTCTCCCAAATCATCGGAATCTCCTCCACCGTGGCCTCATCTCTCTGCAAGCTCAGCCTCTGACAAGTCTGGAGGTTGATCTGGGAACTCTAGGCTTTCGTCTCCATCATGCAACAACTCCCCAGCAACTACCATGCGAATTGTCGAAGCTGATGCTGGTTCAGGTTCGTCCTTCCCTGAACTTGTTGGCTTTGTCTTCAACGTCTTCCTTGGCGCTGACTTTGCCATCTTCTTTGGCGTTTCGTCTTCTACATCTCCTTCTCCTCCTGACCTCTTTGGGCTCTCCATAGGACTTCTTCTCGGACTCGCTGGCGCCTTGTCAGCCTCACTCTCGACAGTAGGTTCCTCTAGGCTATCAAGCAGTTCGTGCAGCAATATATCATCCGAAATCACCAGACTCACCAGACCTCCTTCGTTCTTCTCTTCACCTGGCTGCGTCGGAGTGTAATCACTTATGTCTTGGTCATCGCCTCCTTTGCTGCTTTCTTCATCTGCCCCTGCCTGTCTCTTCTCTCCTCTTGCTTCCTCACCTCTTCTCGCCTCATCCTCCTTCTTCTTTGCTTTCTCCTCCTTCGCCATCTTCTTTTCCTCTGCTCTGATTCCTGGGGCGAGTGCTGGAGGCAATGGAACAGTAGGAAACTTGCCAACCAACGATGAAGCTTTGGCGCCAATCTGCCCAAACCCAATGTTCCATGGCCAGAACTTCACATACGTCACGGCCTCCGGGTCAAAAGGAGTCGGTAGCCTTCTGATAGTTCTCGTCCACTTCAAACCTGATGGTGTGGCCACCATGTGGAAGTCAGCTCTGTCTGTCTTCCCAAGCCATAGGCCTGGCTCGAACTTGTCACTCTTCACTCTGGCCAACACATGCTCACCAAAGACTGCAACTTTGCCACAGTACTTCCCTCCTGTCCTTTTTTTGATAGGCTGTAGGTCCACCTCCTTGTCGCCTGTAGTGCGTCAACAACCATCCAGCATGGCGCATAGCCCATAGGAACACTGGTGAAGATGGCTTGATGTGCGTTTGACAGCCTTCTTTGACAGAGCGGAGACTCAAAAAAAACAAATAAGGACCAAAAAACAAAAAACCAAGGATCAAAAAAAAACAAAATAGAGATCAAAAAAAAGAAAGGGACAACCAGTAGCTTAGTGGTATAAGAAATTGAGAAAGAGACGAGATCAAAAAAAACAAAATAGAAATCCAAAAAAAGAATGGGACAACCAGTAGCTTTGTGGTATAAGAAAGCGACAAAGAGACGAGATAAACAAATGGACACAAAGGCAAAGTAAGGAGACAGAGAAAAGAATCTTTTGTCTAGAAGGGGGGTCGATACCTACGTCGATGAAAAGCGGGGTAAGAGGGGAACAGCACAAAAGGAAAAGTATTAACAACAGGAAGTAAGAAAGATAGGTATTTAGAGGGATACATACATAGAAAAACGAGTCGATATATTGATAGACAGACAGATAGATAGAGAAATAGGTCGATCAATAGATAGATCAATTGGTCGATAACTGGATAGAGAAAAAGATCGATGGAGAGATAGACGGATAGGTAGAAAGATCAATAGAACGGGAGTGAGATAATTGGACTTGGCTGGATGGATGTTCATTTAGAGGGTGCTTCATTGAGATCTGAAAGTCGCGGGTTGGGCGATAGGCCTGTGAGAGAATTATTGGTTGAGTTATTGAGTTCTTGAAACTTGATGTTACCAGGAACCTCTGATTGCCGATGCAAGCAGTTTCACTGCAGCATGCAGCCCAGACTACCCATTTGAAAGAGCGGTTGAAGCAAGCAAACGGGAGGTGGGAACAGGAGAGGGAGTGACATGTTGGAATTGAATTCACTTGAAAGGTTCAGGTTCGTCATTAATGGAAATTCGTGGCTTGGGCGATAGGCCTGTGAGAAAGTTATTGTTTGAGTTCCTCACAGTTGATGTGACCAGGGCTTCCCAGTCAAAAGAGAAGGGCAAGGAAAGAAAGCAAAAGTATGAAACTGTGAGACTGGCCGTTTTGGAGTGAGTTCATACAGAAGCAGCAGCCGGACAAATGATAAGAGTGCCACTGACGGAAAACAGGATAAGACTGCAACTGAACGATGCAAGTGTTGCAAGCTGCGAACGGCCCTTTTTTTACCGGAAATGAGATGCGCGGACTCCACCACGAAGGGCTGTGAGACGTTCGCTTTGGCTCATCCCCTCAGAAAGTACAAGCAGAACGGAGGGGGAAAAAGCAAGGTGAACATCATAGCGCTGACAAGTGGCAGTCCACGAACCGCTACGACGGCGTACAGGTTCGGTGGTTCCCGCTGGTGCCTGGCGGGACAGTTTCAAAAGGACGCTTCGGTGTTTGAGTCATGCGCATGCATGTTCAGGGCACAGACTCGGATGCATAGGTACAGTGGAAGACGGTTGAAAGGAAAGCCTGCCCCGACCCAGTCGATGGACTTGATGCTAGAGGGGCCTAGGCGCAAAATGTTTTCACTCTATGTGCATGCACGCAGAGGACACAAAGATGGCTGTATACTTACATGGCCTGCCGCGATGGAGTGGATGGACTTGATGCTTGAGGGGCCTCGGTCCAAAAATGTTCAGTCTATGTGCGTGCACGTACAGGACACATACATGGCTGCAAACCTTTTACTGAAGAATTTTGCAGCTCGCAAATGATTGCCAAAGTACCGCTTCAGCCGCAGAGGGCACCATGGCGGCTTCAGCGACCAGCCTTAGCGGGCCCAGGGATGCACACAAATGGTGAAGCAACGAAAGCAGTCATTTAAGTCCCCAACCGGTCGGCAAAGCCACTGTTTCGCAAGATGCTGCACGCGCGCCATAATTCCAGACGGAACAGTGGGCGCTGCTATGCAAGCATCTGCGAACGAAAAGGAAGCAAGCTGCTCAACAGAGAGATGTTGCTGCTCGAGCCCAGCCCTCCACAAATCCAACGAATGAAACCGCAAAAAGGCTGCCAACCCTGGGTCATTGCGTGGCCGAAGAGCTGCTTGCCGGGGTGATGACAGCTGCGCCGGTTGGCGCACAGAACGGGAAGGAAGAAGGATTGGCACCGAGTCTTGCTCTGACACAGGGATCTTTTTTTTGACGAGAAGGGAAAGTGGGGGCTTGCAAAGAAAGCAATCCCAAATCCAAGAAAGCAGCATGAGTGTGCTCACAGGAGCCATGCAAGCAGAATGTCTGGCAGAATGCACAAATCGCCTGCGCATGGGGCGTGGAATCCGAATCTGAAGGTTGGCGACACCAAAATTCACTAGCTGCAGGCCCGACCACTACAAGAACATATGACTGGAGCGTTTTGACTAATTTCTCCACATCTTCTAAAGGTTCCGGCCCCAAGCCCAAAGCCACCAAAGCTTGCGTCACAGCAGCATCCGATGTCGAACGCAAAAGGGAAGCAAATGTTTCTGGAAAGGATGCAGGAGGTGGGGTGACCTCGGTGTCCTCAGAACGGATCCATTTTGTGGCTGCACGGTCAAATGTTGCCAAAGTTCGACGCGTGCAAAGAAACACAGAGCCATGGCCATCGTCCCAACGTTTCGTGGCCCCTGTTCGATGGAATTGCTCGGCGGAAGTCCGCCCCTGTTGTGTGAGAGCATTGGAATCGAAGAGCACAGCTTTGTCAGGAAACGGCTCATTTGGAACATCAGTGAGAGATGTGTTGGAAGCTCGCAAGTTCTGCAGACGCGAGGAGGCGAACGAAGACAAAGATTGGACAAAGACCGGCAAAGATTGGCGGAGACCCATATACTTTTTTAGCTTCTGTCCGTGCCACGACTCTTGTGCCTGCGTGCCGGAAGCAGACCCAGGCTGTATGCGCTGGATTCCGCACCACCAATCAGCTGTGTAAAACATATCTGGACCACCAGGCCAATTTGCAAGTCCATACGCACTTTTTGCTTCTTCTTCGGAGAGCAGCGAAAGATAATGTTTTCGAAAGGCTTTGGCCGCAGGACGCTCTGAGGGCTGCTGCGCCAGAAGAGTTTGGAGCAAGACATGAATGACTGTGTGGAATAAGAGAGCTGTTGGGAGGGAACGGAGACAAAATATCGCACGCTCTATCAAAGGCACAAGCTTTTGTCCAAAGGTTGACAAATGCTTTTTCATGGTGGCAATGACACCAGCCCTATAGGCAGCAATTCTCTCACATGGGGCGTCGAACGATTTTTTGGGGCGGCTACATGCGCCCAGGAAATGCGCCCAGTCTGTGACACGAAGTGCTTTTGCAAAGGCTGCCTTCACTGCCAAATCCTCACCATAATGCATGTCAGCATGATATTGGGCGCATGTTTCTCGGAGGCTCATCCCGGCAAATTGGAGAGCGCAAGATTCCAGCGCATCGACGAGAACTTGGTAGGTGGGCTGGCTCTCTTCGTTGGCAAGGGCAAAAAGAAGAGGGTCAAAAGAGGTGCGGAAAGCATGAAATCCGCTTAGAGAGCACGCCAACAGTCATCAACACCCATTCATCCCTAGTCAGCCGGAATGTCCCATCCCCACACAATTTGATGTACTTTTGGTTGTCTAGGCGGCCTAAGGTTTCTTTCAACAACAAGGGATTGCAAAAGACAACCACGGTGGCATCATCCGTATGAACAGAAGCTGTAATCTTCAGGGTGTCAGACGCCTCTGTCAGGTTGTGGACCGTGCCAAGCTCCCGTTCCAGCTGCCGCCAATCTGCTTCCACCCACTTGTGAGATGTCAACCGGTCCTCTGGTGTTCCTCTATGGGGCCTGTGGTTCTTTGCCCATGTACTCAGGAAGGTATCGCTGGGCCGCGCTTGGTGCTTTTCAACCACTTTGACAAGATCTTGCAATGTGAACCGGTGGTTATCTGCTACAAAGGCTTTGAGCCCATGTTCGGCAGTGGCTGTCAAGGGATTCCATGTTTTGACAGCCTTGAAGTCTCCACGCTGGTCTTGTGGTGTGTAGGCCCTAGTAATTTGTTTTGTGGCATCATCGTAGATAGAATATCCTCTCCAGCCTGAACGCTCTTTGCATGAGGTACAAGAATTGCACCAAAGGAAAATTTTGTGGCCACCTTTGTATGCGCAATATTGGCGCCGAAGGGCGAGCTGTTGCCCAGGAACTGTGGCTGTGGCCCATCTCCTTTCATGCTCCATAAAAGCTTTCTTGTCGAGAAAAGGGTTCTCACAGGCGATGACGCTCTTCTGTGTGTAAATGCGCCCCACTTCTTCTGCACTCTTCCGGCCTCCCTTTCGGACAACCTCCTCCTCCTGACCACCTTGATCCTGCTGCTGCTCTTCCTCTTGACGTCGGCCCCGTTTGCCTGCTCCTTGCATGGCTGGGGTGATGGCTGCGGTGGTTGTGGGTGTGGCAGGCGAAGATGCAATAGGCAAAGATGGATGCCAAAAAGACTCGGCAACACCAAGGCGACACAGGGACTCCTGCACAGTAGGAGACAAGGGGAATCTGTAAAAAGCGACAGCCCGATTGTCTTCATTGACTCTGCGCCTTGTCTCCTTAACTTGGCCAAGTCCAAGCCGCTCTAGCTCACGCAAAAGAGCAAGGCGAGCGTCGAATTTGTCAGCTCCTCGCAAACTCACGAAACGCTGGCTCATGTGGCTGAACAAAATGGGGTCTTTGACGCAGGACTCAAGAACTCTAGCCGTCGTCGGCCTGATGGCGCTGGAAGCGGCAGCCTTGGAAGACGAAGCCTTGCGCGCGCACGCTCGGATACAGGCATCAATGATGGAGCATGTGTGCACGACCCGAAGGTCAAAGTGGCGGAGGGCACATTTCATGGCATTGTCATCTAAAACTCCATCGGTCGGATGCGCTTGCAAGGCTGAGGTCGCCAAGAAAGTCAAACAGGCGGCACTGGGCACACGATACTCCATTTTGCCCAGGCTGGATTTTGCAGCAGACCCCCATCCCCCTTGATCTTCTTCTTCTGCCAAATCATAGTACAGTGCCCGCACAATCTCCTGGGCTTCCAAAGTGGTCGTCATCTGGCGGGTTTTTAATGCGCTTTGGGGGCCATACGCTGAAAGAACATGCCGCCAAATCTTTTGCATCAACTTGCACACGGGCTCGGGGTCTTGCAGCCCAGTGTCCCCATCGACGATGGCTCGGGCAGTGGGCGACATCAAAATTCGAGCGCTGAAGCCGCACTTGTGCGATGCTTCCACCTGGCACCACCACTCTTCAAAGAGGGTGAACTGCTGAAACAAGCACATGTTAATGTTAGTCGGCTCAAACGTGGTGGGTAGGCACTCTGTCCCTTCTTGGCGGCTTTTCCTGCTCGCCCTGTCTTTTTCATCCTGGCCAGTACCCCACTCAAAACGTCCGCCATTGGCACATTCGAGCCACCGGGTCAAATCCAAAAACTTGCCGGTATCCACTGTCTTTTTTGTGGGAAAATGGGGATCTAAAATGGGTTTGGATTCAGGCCCATACAAGAGGAGACATCCATCCAACAGCCGCCACCGATTTTGAATCCGGTTGTTATTGCCTACGCCAATCCAATGTTCTTCTGAGAACAACATTTGTGGCACGGACTGGGCCAGGTTGCGAAACGCAGTCATGATGAGGCTGCATGTGGGAGACTTGCCTGCGTTGGGGTCTCCTGTTGGGCACGCCCACCACCGTGCCTTGGATGTGAACGACTTGGACCGGTTTGCATACAGGGAAACCTCTAAGTGCTTGTTCTGACACGAAGCGAGGCATGCTTGGAACAAATCAAAGGCAAAGATTGCCGGAAATCCACAGCCTGTATGCAGATACTCACACGCAACGGCCAAGGGCAACATAGAGGTGTAGCCAAGGACAGATGGGAGCTTTGCAGCTTGCTGAATGGTCAAGTCCAGACCCCTTTGTTTCCTGATGCTGCCAACGCAGTCCTGACGGACTTCCTCCAAAGTGTGTCCGTCGATGTACTGGCTATACAACGGCATTCTTCTCCACACCATCTCGTCCAAGGCAGCCGCACCATTGGAGTTGGCAAGCGCACGAAACCAATAGTCCACCTCACCTGCAGGGTCGTCTAAGAAGCACGGTGGAGGCATGCGCAAAACGCTTGGGTCTGCTGCTTGCGGCGTGCACCATGACTGAGGAGCAGGGGGAGGAACAACCGAAGAAGGCAGATTTGAAGCACCTAGCTGAACTTCTTCCAAATCCAAATCAATGACATCTGGAGGAGAAGCAAAGAGTGGGCGGCTGTGCCGTCTGTCCGAAGAACAAGCCCAATCCAAGGCTGAATGAATGTCAGAACCAAATCTGGAGCTGGCCTCGCGCGCTACAGGTGGTGGCACGCCCATGTTGATGAGTGACCCGGCCACATCGAGAGCACTCCCCATGGCAGTGGTCGTGCGAGGTGTTTCACAAATGTTGACTTCTGCAGCATTCTGTGTGGCCAACTCTGTCGAGCCAGCGCATCCCGTCATATGTGGTTTCCCCGCTACCTTGGCTAGTTTCCAGGCGCGATCCAGGCAGCCCTTCACACACAAACCAAAGTGGGCTGCGCAGGAGCAGCCATGGACTGTGGGGACAGGAATCGGAGACGACGCTGTGTCTGCAGGAAACAGGTCACTATCACAGCTTAACAGCTTTTCCCAAAGACAGTTCAGCTACTTCAAAGCCAAGTGTGGGTGAGATTGTCCGATCAGAGTCTTCAAGTTTGGCAGTGGTGTCCGGTGCATTGGGAGGCACATCATCATTGCAACACAAGGGACAAGCAGGGTCAGAGCAAACCCTTTTTGGTAGTGGCCGTTTGGATGCAGAAGGGTCCACACGAGGCGCCGGATCTGCTGGCCTTTGAACATCAGGCATAGGCTCCGGTTGCTGGCAAGGCTCCTCATACTCCTGCTCCTTCTGCTCCTCCTCCTCTAAGTCAAAAACCAACGGCGCTCTAGCTTTATCCTCTGAGCCCGAATCCTCCAACTGTGTAGGGAGCGGAGGTAACGCATCTGAACAAATGAAACAAGCAGGGTCTGAGCAGAGTGGAGGCAAAGGCGCTGCTCCTCCAGGCCGAGTGGCTTTGCCAGGTTCTTGCTCTAAATCCAAACCATTGCCAAGCAAGAAAGAGGGGCAACACGGAACGGTATGAGATGGAGGGACATAAAGTCCACGTTGTCCCAGGGTACTTCTGATGCATGCCTGAAAATGCCCCAAATCCGACCCGGGTGCCTGCGTGTACAGCATGCAATCCGTGGAGGGAAACATTGCAGCCCATCGACACGCCGTCTGGTACGAAACAAAGATCCGGCCAGCCCGCGGCAGAAACAAAAATGCGCCAGCAGCTGGATCATGGAAGACAAGAAGCCCACGCGGATAGTGCAGAGACAAAGCTGCGACAGCGACTTCGATTTGCTCGCCTGAAGTTGCGGGGGAGAGCAAGGATGTAGCAGCAGCGGCAGTCCAGCCAAGCTCAGAAATAGCAAAATCCATGACAGACACCATCAAATCCAAAAGAGAAGTTTTTGTTTGCAAGCTGCTTGCCAGCCACCAACAATGCGTGCTTGTCGAATTTTCTATTGTGCGAAGGCCAAGGCGTGTGAGAACAGCTTGTGTTTGGGGAGATGGTGGCCATTCGCAAGTGCAAGGCTGTGGCAAAGGCCGAGGCATGCTTGGCTCAGAATGAGTCCGCTGGCATGGAGATGAAGACGGATGATGCGAAGTCCAATGCGTGATAAGGGAGAATCCTTGATGGCGCTTGTGGACCCTCTTCTGGCGAAAATCTTTGCGAACTTGGGGACAGTCCAAATCAAAGACAGCCAGACTTGTTGGGCACATGAACTCGCTGGACATCGCAGCACGGACAAACTGGCTTTCAACAGCGCCACAATCCAACAGCACCATTGAATACCCATCTGAAGCTACAAATGCAGAGCTGGCCAGAAAGACGTCAGTGGGGCGAGCCATGGACGAAGATTCGAATGAAAAAGCATCTTTGAACAAAACAGCGTTGTGACGAACGGTGACGAAGCATTGGCGAGGTGCCATGTACGAAGGTCCCAACCATACTGGAGAAAAGAGCCTGGCAAACGAAGACTGACAGAGTTCAATCGCGCAATAAATTGCACTGAGGCTGCTGCAAGGAGGTTGGTGCCATAGAAGCCATCGATGAAACCTGCAGTGGGGCCAAGTCAAGTATAGGGGCAGGTAAAACTAGGCCTCGTGGAAACATAGGAAGAAGCAAGCTGATGAACTGAGCTACGTGCTACCAAAGATTCGGAATAACAAGGAAGGCTTTTCTACTTGCGTTTGAACTGCGCGCTCTCGGCAAGATAGAGATTTTCAAGCCGTGGCAAGCAGCAAAGCTGACCTTATCATTTAGCAGCCAAACATCGCTTCAAGGCATTTTTTCAGTTTCATGTGGGTTGGATGGGTTTCGTTCATTTGAATTCTAGCAGGTTCCATTGTTTGCGGCTACCAAGGCGACATGGCTACCATTCACGCAGCAGGTTCGCCGATTGGTTACAGGTATTTATGAAGGCTTAAAATATATATCCTGTGAGAAAGTTGTTTTGTGGCTTAACTTTAATAAGGCGGCTGTACCACAAGGTGCGCATGGCTGATGCAAGCTGTCAGACCACGGCAAGGAAAGGAAGGTAAGGGGAGGAAACAGTGCAGTGCATTAGGAGAAAACAGGACGGTCTGGCAAATTTGACAAAGAAGGGCATGAGATTCCAAAGTGAAATTGGAAAGTATGCACCAGGGCTAGCCAGTGAAGGGCAGGAAGCAGACAGCGCACCAAGACATGAACTTTGGTAAGGGTTGCAGGCTTTTTTTGCAGGCTTCAAGAGATAAGCGTGGAGACACACCTCGGTCACAAAGAATGCTTGCTATTTTGATCCTGCTTTGTAGGTGCCCATGAGGAGATGAATTTTAATTCGATCACATGTAGAATGTTTTGTAGGAAGCGTACATCAGGAGATCAGATGATTTTGCTCACGTGTTGCGCCACTGGTGGCCCGTAGCATCCACCTTTATGGGGTCTTCCATGGGGGTATGTCGCAATTCAACCACACGGCCCTAGCTTTCCCAAATTGACAAATGTATGGTTTTGGGGGGGTTCTAGTGAGACATACCCCGGTCACAGAGAATGCGTGATATTTGGATGACACACGTTTCTTGGAGATAAGCAAACATGTTCAGGAGGCGCACGCGCTGGTGAGACAGAACCCACTCACAAAGAATGCTTGATATTTTGATTACACGCACTTTTCGGATATAAAAAGCCTCTTTTGTAGGAGCACATTCAGAGATGAATTTTAATTCGATCACATGTAGCATGTTCAGGAAGTGTAAATCAGGAGATCAGACAATTATTGCACGAGTGTGTGTCTAGGTGCAGATTGGGAGATGAATTTAAAGTCCATCACATGTAAAATTTTGTCTTGGAAGGGTACATCAAGAGATCTGAAGGCGGTAGCTTCTCCAAATTGGCGCGGAAGTGATTTTACCCTCGGGTGGCTCACGAAAAGGTGACTCAACTTGGAAGGGCAACATCCTTCTCTAAATTTTACCCCTGCATTGCCCACAAAAGGGTGAGTCAACTTGGCCTGGCCACTTTCTTCTCTAAATTTTACCCCTGCTTGGCCCACAAAAAGGTGAATCAACGTAGCATGGCCACTTCCTTCTCTTAATTTTACCCCTTCTTTGCCCACAAAAGACTGAGTCAAGTTGGAATGACCACTTCCTTGTCTAAATTTTACCCTCGGGTGGCTCACCAAAGGGTGAGTGAACTTGGAAGGGCAACCTCCTTCTCTAAATTTTACGCCTGCATTGCCCACAACAGGGTGAGTCAAGTTGAAATGGCAACATCCATCTGGTGGTAGTGGTAATGGTAGTGGTTGTCGTTGGCAGTCGGTTGGCGTCAGTGGCAAATGCCTGGTGGCCCCTAGCATCCACCGTTGTGGGGTTGTGCAAATGTAGGAGGCAGCGGTGGTAGTGGTAGCGGTAGTCGTAGCGGTAGCGGTAGCGGTAGTGGTCGTGGTAGTAGTAGTAGTAGTAGTAGTAGTAGTAGTAGTTCTTGTTGTTGTTGTTGTTAGTTGGTTGCTTGGTTGGTTGGTCGGTTGGTTAGTTGGTTGGTTGGTTGGTTGGTTACTTAACACGCGTTTCTTGGAGATAAACAAGCATGTTTAGGAGGCGCACGCGCTGGTGAGACAGACCCCACTCACAAAGAATGCTTGATCGTTTGATTACACGCACTTGTCGGATATAAAAAGCCTCTTTTGTAGGAGCACATTCAGAGATGAATTTTAATTCGATCACATGTAGCATGTTCAGGAAGTGTAAATCAGGAGATCAGACAATTATTGAACGAGTATGTGTCTAGGTGCAGATTGGGAGATGAATTTAAAGTCCATCACATGTAAAATTTTGTCTTGGAAGGGTACATCAAGAGATCTGAAGGCGGTAGCTTCTCCAAATGGGCGCGGAAGTGATTTTACCCTCGGGTGGCTCACGAAAAGGTGACTCAACTTGGAAGGGCAACATCCTTCTCTAAATTTTACCCCTGCATTGCCCACAAAAGGGTGAGTCAACTTGGCCTGGCCACTTTCTTCTCTAAACTTTACCCCTGCTTGGCCCACACAAGGGTGAATCAACTTGGCATGGCCACTTCCTTCTCTTAATTTTACCCCTGCTTTGCCCACAAAAGACTGAGTCAAGTTGGAATGACCACTTCCTTGTCTAAATTTTACCCTCGGGTGGCTCACCAAATGGTGAGTGAACTTGGAAGGGCAACCTCCTTCTCTAAATTTTACGCCTGCATTGCCCACAAAAGGGTGAGTCAAGTTGGAATGGCAACCTCCATCTGGTGGTAGTGGTGGTAGTGGTAATGGTAGTGGTTGTCATTGGGAGTCGGTCGGCGTCAGTGGCAAATGCCTGGTGGCCCCTAGCATCCACCGTTGTGGGGTTGCGCAAATGTAGGAGGCAGCGGTGGTAGTGGTAGCGGTAGTGGTAGCGGTAGCGGTAGTGGTAGTGGTGGTGGTAGTGGTAGTTGTTGTTGTTGGTTGGTTGGTTGGTTGGTTGGTTGGTTGGTTACTTAGTAAGTTAGTAAGTAGGTTGGTTAGTTAGTTAGTTAGTTACTTAGGTTGTTTTTAGTTATTTTGATAATACTAATTAATAATGGTAGTGGTAGTAGTAGTAGTAGCAGCAGTAGGAGTAGTAGGGGCAGGGCATAGCGCCTGCTACTAAGCGAAGGATTCTTCGCGAAGTTGGGCCTTATCGTCAGCCTTTGCGGCGTTGCCACGGCTAAGCAAATGTGGGCCTTATCATTCACCTTTGTGGCAGTGTCCACGCAAAGAAGATAGTAGTTGTGGTCTCTGTGGTAAGACTCGTAGTGAGGTGG